GAGGCAAGAACTCTACTGCTGAGATACAACCCCAGCCCCAAAACCAGCTTTCTAAGGTATCACCAACACCCAAATATGCCCAACAAAGATAAAATTTAGTGGATGAAACTGCAGAACCCCAAGACAAAATTGCTGATTTAAGACACAGCTTCTGGGCTGGTTTGTGGCTCAGTGGTAGAATGCTTAGCCTGACACATGTGAGGCACTGGGTTGGATCTTCAGTACCACATAAAAAATAAGTATCCATTTACATAACTTTAAAAAGAGTTTCCGGGAGGCCTAATTACATTTTCTGCAATTATGTCCCATGAAATTCCTCAGCACTCTAATAAACCTATTTGTACTCAGGTTTCTTTTTGAGTTTCCATATGGTACAACTAACATGACTTATATGTAGGGAACCAATGAAACAATAGTTTAATTACACTCTATTGCTTGCCTAATGTTTTCTAACCACCATATTTGAAACACTCTACTTCAGAGCTACATGCTCAACCCTTCATGTTTTTTAAAAATTGTGTTCTTTTGGTTCATCAACCAAAAAATGTTTTTAAACTTAACACAGGAAAAAAAGAGTCAGACACAAATACCCTTTTCCATGCACAGGTCCACTCAATATCTTAGGAGCCAGGGCTGAAGCTTTGAAATTGCAATGGTAGTAGTGAGTAGTTTATCACTGATATAGTTCAGAATTTCCTGTTGTAGGACAACAACAAGCATATACCTTTCAGTCAAGTTTTATTACTGTATTAAATTTCTCTACAGCTGGGTTGAGGATATAGCTCAGTTGGTAGAATGCTTCTCCTGAATGCACATAGGCCTGGGTTCAATCCCTAGCACCACACACACAACACACACAGGCACACACAAAAATCTCTACAGCCAATAGCTGCCTCTCCAGCTTCCTGCCTGCACCAGGACAGTACTCCTGCACTCTGCCTTTGATAGACACTGATTGATTGGTGATTATGATTTGGAAATTTAGGTACAACATAACTTCTTACTGACAGAAGAATAGAAAATGAGTAACGGTACTTAATTTATGTCAAGTTTTTTTTGTTTGTTTTTGGTTTTTGCACTGGGAGGAGTCAAAACTAGGGTCTTGTACATACTTAGCAAGCTCTCTATCACTGAGCCATGAGCCCAGTCTAAACTTTTTTTAACAGGAGAAAATCTATTTGTATACTAAATTCTCCCTCTTTCCTCAATTCTGATAATACTAGACAGGTCTACACCCAAGAAAACAGCAGGTATAATAGCACACTTTTCACAAAGAGGTATCAAACTTCTCAATCTTTTTTTTATCTTCTTTTTTGGTGGTACTAGGGATTGAACCCGGGGCACTCTACCACTCACATGCATCCCTAGTACTTTTTATTTTAAGGCTGGGTCTTATTAAGTTGCCCAGGCTGGCTTTGGGGATGACAGACGTGTGTCACCATGCACAGCTACAATAGTCATTTAATGAATAAGACCTGGATGTGAAAAATATGCAGTGGAAGGGTCATTTACTTACAAGAAGCACCCCTGATTCACAGGATTGCTATGCAAAGTTGTATAGGGCTTTAAGTAAAGCAAAAGAGTTATTTCAGTTACTATTTAAACATATAATGATTGAGGCCCTAGAATCACATATGAATTCCAAACAGCTCTTACATGAACTTGGAATAATGTAATCCTGAGAAAAATCTCTCACCTAAGCCTAAATTACAAATTGAGGTAAGAATTCTTTATTTTAAACATTAAAGTAAATTAATACTTGAAAAGCAGTTAACATTCATATAAATACTTTATAAACTTTTAAATAAAGCATGTGGTTTTGAATGGAAAGCAATTCTGCTGTCTTATCCTCAAAAGTATACATGAAAACTAGTATGTTTCACCAAAATAACTACGAGATGAAGTTCAAGTTAAACTTATGTCACAGAGGCTGGGGTTGTGGCTCAGTGGTAAAGCGGTTGCCTAACGCGTACAAGGCTCTGGGTTCAATCCTCAGTATCACATTAAAAATAAATAAATAACATTATTGTGTCCAGCTACAATTAAAAAATATTAAAAAAAAACCCACGTCATAGAAAATTAGTTTTAAAAATAAGACACATTGCAAAAGACAATTACTATAGAATAATATAAAACTGCAAAAAGAAAATAAAAAAATATGACAAAGAAAGCAAAAATCACAAAGGAAAAACAACTTTATTTTTAACTATGGAACACCAAGTTATTATGAGTAGCATCCCAATTTTCAGAGAGGTAAAAATGAACAAAAATATGCATTTTAGAATCCATTGAAACTATATACTTTGAAAAAGACTTTCAAGTAACGGAGGGGAAAAATGTAAGCACCATAACAACAGCAGCAAATGTAATAAGCAATTCTGTAAGCTAGGCAACTGTACTAAATGGACTTTTTTTGGGGGGAGAGGGGGGTACTAGGGGCACTCTATGATGTCCCCTGACTTTTTTATTTTGAGGCAGGATTCTACTACATTGTCCAGGAACTTGTGATCCTCCTGCCTTAGCCTGAGTTAGCTGGACTACAAGTGTGCACAACCATGCTTGACCCATCTCACCAAACTCTTGCAACAACACATTATAAGCACTACTATTTCCCCTTACAGATTAACCCATTTTGAGAGGAACACAGGAAAAAAAAAAAAGACAGAAATGGACGTGGTCCTGGATTTGATCCCTATCAAGTGGGTTCGCTCTTAAGCATACAACAGAAAGACTGTTTGAAGTCAGGATCAAACCCAGGAAGCCTGACTCCAAAAACAATATTAACCACACAATGATTATAACTTGTAGATCATTATAATTGCAAAAAGCATCTAAGGGTTCAATCCCCAGTACCAAAAGGAAATTAAAAACAAAACCCCACATCATATCTATTGAATTTTTTGAACCAGAGAGTAAACATCACAGTAGCTAATGGATTAAAATAAAAGATTAGGGGCTGAAATGGTGGCTCAGTGGTAGAGCACCTGCCTAGAATGTTTGAGGCACTGGGTTCAATTCTCAGCACTGCATATAATAAAGGTCCATTGACAACTAACAAGTAATTTTTAAAAAATCAAAGACTATCCTGTGCCTTCTGTATATATTATTTTAGTTTTATACCAATTAATATTTACTTAGATTCACATAAACGTTGATTACTTTTGATCATTCTTTCTTGCATCTCAGAACTTTATTCTGAAATCATGTTCCTTTTCCCAAAGAAAAACATTTAGTATTTTAAAATAAAATCTCCCAAGTTGGGCTTTCTCTGAAAATCTTTATATTATCTTCTATTCTTGCTATGTGCAGGACTGAAAGACAACATACTCCCTTTTCAAGTATACCATTAATTCCACTTCTTTCTAGTTTGCACTACTGATAACAAGCAATGGCTTTCAGTCTAGTTGCCATTCTTCATCTTTTTCACTGTTTGCTTAATCTTTTTATTATACATTTTAATTGTAGTTGAAAACAATACCTCTACTGTATTATTATTTTCATGTGGTGCTGAGGATTGAACCCAGCACCTCACATGTGCTAGGAGAGCACTCTACCGCTCAGCCACAACCCTAGCCCTCTTTTTTAAATTGTTTTTTAGCTGTAAATGAATACAACACCTATCTATCTATCTATCTATCTATCTATCTATCTATCTATCTATCTATCTATCTATGCTGAGGATTGAACCCAGTGCCTCACACATGCCACAACCCTACCCCTTGCTTAATCCTTT